AAACAGAACTTCGCTGGAGATCCAGACCAGAACTTGGCTGGAGATCCTGGCTAGAAATCCTGGCTAGCCTGCTGATCAACTGAACGCTGTCTCCGTGTCATTCCTTCTTCGCCGACTCTGTCCACACCTTTGGGGACCCCTGTACCTGCTGGGGTTGGACCCCGGCAAAAGCAGGGAAGTAACAACTGACACCACAGAAATACAAAGGATTATAAGAAAATATTGTGAATAACTATATACTAACAAATTGGACAATCTGGAAGAAATAGACAAATTCCTAAAAACATATAACATTTCAAAACTAAAGAAGAAAACAAAGGTCTGAACAGACTGATTGCAACTAATAAAATTGTAGCAGTAATCAAAAACTCCCAACAAACAGAAGGGCTGGACCAAATGGCTTCACAGGTGAATTTTACCAAATACTCAAAGATGAAGTAACACCTGCCCTTCTCAAACTATTCTAAACAATTCAAGTAGAGAGAAAACTCCCAAATTCATTTTATGAAGCCAACATTATCTTAATTCTAAAACCAGATAAAGACACTACAAAGCAAGAAAATTGTAGGTCAATATTCTTGATGAACATAGAAGTAAAAATCCTCAACAAAATATTAGCAAAAAAACCTATCAACTGGGGATTATTTTGTGGATGCAGGGTTGTTACAACATCAGCAAATCAATTAATGTGATACATAATATAAATAAAATGAAGGGTAAAAATCTTATAATGATATCAACAGATGCAGAAGAAGCTTTTGACAAAAATCTAGTACCCATTTATAAAAACAAACAACTTTCAGCAAAGTGGGAATAGAGGGAACATATATTAACATAAATGACATTATGACAAACATAAATGACAAACCCACAGCTAACATCATATTCAATGGGTAAAAACTAAAAGCATTTCTTCTCAAGATTCCACCAAAAAACTACTAAAACTGATAAATGAATTCAGTAAAGTAGTAGATACAAAAATAAATATTTAGAAATCAGTTGCATTTTTATTCGCCAATAATGAATTATCAGAAAGGGAGACTAAGAAAATCCCATTTATAATTTCATCAAAAGAAATAAATACCTAGAAATACATTTATCCAAGAAAGTAAAAAAACCATACTTGGAGAATTATAAGACATTGAGGAAAGGAATTGAAGAGGATACAAATAAATGGAAGCAGACACAGTGCTCATGGACAGGAAGAATTAACATTGTTAAATGTCCATGCTACCTAAAGCAATCTATAGGTTCAACGCAATTCCTATCAAAATACCCATGACATATTTTACAGAACTAGAACAAATAGTCCAAAAATTTATATGGAGTCACAAAGACCCCAAATAACTACAGAAGTCTTGAGAAAGAAGAACAAAGTTGGAAGAATCACACTACCTGATATCAAACTATACTACAAGGTCACAGTAGTCAAAGCAGCATGGTATTGGCAAAAAACAGACATACAGATCAATGGAACAGAAAAGAGAGCCCAGAAATAAATCCATGCCTGTTCGATCAACTACTATTTGACAAAGGAGTCAAGAACATACAATGGGATAAAAACGGTTTCTTCAATAGTGTTATTGGGAAAATTGGACAGATATGTGCAAATAAATGAAACTAGATCACCTTCTTACACCATATACAAGAGTAAAGTAAAAATGGGTTAAAGACTTAAATGTAAAAACTCAAAAGCATAAAACTCCTAGAAGAAAACATAGGCAGTAAAATCTCTGACATCTCTCTTAGCAATATTTTTTTTATATATCCTCAGGCAAGGGAAACAAATGAAAAAATAAGCAAATGGGACTACATCAAACTAAAAAGTTTTGCACAGTCAAAGAAATCATCAACAAAAGGAAAAGACAACCTACTGAAAGGAGAAAAAATTTACCAATTATACATCTGCAAAGGGGTTAATATTCAATATTCAGAAAGAACTCATACAACTCAACACCAGAAAAGCAAATAACCCAATCAAAAAATGGCAGAGGACCTGTAGAGACACTTCTCCAAAGAGAACATAGAGATGGCTAATAGACGTATGCAAAGATGCTCAACATTACTAAGCAGAGAAATGCTAAATATCCCACAATGAGATATCACCTTACACCTGTCAGAATGGCTATCATCAATAAATCAACAAACAATAAGTGTTGGTGAGGATATGGAGAAAAGGTAACTCTTATGCTGTTGGTGAGAATGCAGATTTGTACAGCCACTATGGAAAACAGTATGGAGTTTCCTCAAAAGATTAAAAATGGATCCAGTGATTCCACTTCTAGGTATATATATCCAAAGAAATAAAAAAACACTAATTTGAAAGAATATATGCCCCCTTATGTTTATTGCAGCATTATTTATAATAGCCAAGATATGGAACCAACCCAAGTGCCCTTCAATAGATGAGTGAATAAAAAAGTGGTAGTACATATATAAAATGGAATAATATTTGGCCATAAAAATGGATGATATCTTCCTATTTGCAATAGCATGGATGGATTTAGAGGGTATTATGCTAAATTAAATAAGTTAGAAAAAGACAAATACCATATGATTTCACTTATATGTTGAATTTAAAGAGAAAATAAATGAACAAACAAAATAGCAACAGACTCATAGATACAGAGAACAGACTAGTGGCTTCCAGCGGGGAGAGGGTTGAGGCCCTGGGTGAAAAGGTGAAGGGATTAAGAAGTGCAAGTTGGTGGTTAAAAATAGTCATGGGGATATAAAACATAGCATAGGAAATCTAGTTAATAATATTGTAATAACTATGTATGATTCCAGGGGGACCACTGCTAAAGTATATGATTATCTAACCACTATGCTATACACCTGAAACTAATACAAAGTAATATTGGATGTAACCCCCATCTCTAAAACTAAGATGCCCAAAGCATTATATCCTATAAAAAGCTGTATTTTCTTTTAGGGTCAGCCAAAATTTGTAGGGATATTCTAATTTCAGGTGGAATTTGGTTCTGAAGATGGATTGATTGATTCTATAAACTTATATTACTCAAAGCCCAATCCTAAGCTAATGGCTACAGGCCCAAATCATTCTTCCTAAAATGTTAATTCATTGTCACAATGCATTAAATCATACTTACATTTTTATTTGGTGAGTAGGACATAGCTGTGGTAGTGTTTATTTTGTATATAAATACATAATTTCTTTGTTCTTTCTAGTATGTGAAGAATTCTTGAACCGATTCTACAATTCCTTGATAGCCAGAGGAATTAACTTTTCTCTGGACACCATAGAAAAAGAATTGGTCAGCTTTTGCTTGGGCGTTAAAGGAAAAGAAAACCGCCTGGTATGGTAAATTTTCACCTTGTACTTGAGGGAAAGCTGATACTTTCACTTCTTATCTTGGACTTGATGTCCTCCTGCTTAGATGCTAGCCTCAGGCATGTTCACTGTAGAGAGCAAGCAGAAATTGATCATTCAGTGAAATGCAGTCATATGAATTTTCATCTAGAATACATCTGATTTTATTTTGCTTTTGGAATAAACCACAGACAACCAAGCCCATATTTTCTTAATAAAAATTATACAATTGAGTGTCTAATTGAGAATTCACTGTCCTGAGTTAAGAATGGATAGACTTTCTACTTCTTACCGAGACAATGAGTTCAACCTTTCCAAATATTTTATATTATTATTTATATATAACCAATGAAATTTTCCTGTACTGGTGTTCGCATAGTGTTTCCTGGGTATACACAAATGACTTTTTAAATAAACTGGTTTACATCACTAAAAACAATCTTAGGGCAATTCCTTTTGCCTAAAATTGTCATTTTAAATTTCCAGTTAAAGTTGCATTGCTGACAGCTCACCTCTGACACATTTAAAACTCTCAGCATTTATTTGTACCACTAAGTTTTATATTTTTAAATGTGAAATGCTTAAGTTGGGTAGCTTGAAAGGCAGTATAACATGAAAAAGTGCACTGACTGTAGAGCCAAAATGCTAGATCTTAAAAAAATTAATCTATTCAACTTGCTAGCTGCGTGAACTTCAGTTGGCTTGGGTATAAAATGGGGATAATAATAGTACTTACTTCACAGGATTGTTGTGATAATTAAATAAGTCAATACCTGTAAAGCCCTGAGAGCAGCACCTGGCACAAGGAAAACACTCAGCAAGCCTTGGAGCATCATGTGAACTGTTGGGCACTTCTAATTAGGATGATCATGGCAATGCGGTCATTTGTTTTCTGGTGTCTTAGCAGGGCTTGAAATTTAATAGTGGGCCCATGAAAACTAGGTTAACCTCTTTCTTACTTTTCAAAACCATATCACTTGCTTTGTGCCACTAAATTCTCTTCATTCTCCATCAGTGCTATTATCTAGGAGCAACAAAAGATGCAGCCACAAAGATCCTAAGTGAAGTCACTCGTCCAATGAGTGTGCACATGCCTGCAATGAAGATTTGTGAGAAGCTCAAGAAGATGGACAGTCAGATCTGTGAGCTAAAATATGGTATAATGGAGTCAAGTCTTTTTTCCCCTAGGATGTGTGAAGTATTGCCAATTCTCAAAACAGGCTATTTTTTCTAAAAAGTCAGTGTTAGAAGGAAAGAAATTCTTCATCTGTCATTATGTTGTTAGGCTGCTGAATGATACTTAATGTCTCTTGATCTTTTTTGGGGAGTAAGAGAAATAAATACTGGCATAATCAGTGTAGGTAAATCAGTGTCATTCCAAATAGGAAAGTTTAAGCTCTTATATCACCAAGGCAGTGTCAACTGTGTATGTCAAGGAAAAATTCAAAATATTGAGGGAATAACTACTCATGGTAATTTAGCTCTTGGTAACCTATTAAGGAAAGTTGCATCTATTTAAATATTCAAAGGTGATGTAAAGACTTTGAAGTTTTAAATGTGTGTGTATCGTTTCCCTTAGATTTGCCTATTATTCTGCCAGCTTTACATTTTGGGAAATAGGTTATTCACTTCAAATCAGGTTTTGCTGATGAAATGTCCTTATTGAGGGTGCCTAAAATAAACGGTGAGGAAAGAAAGATGTCTTATTTAAATCATTATCATTGGCCTTCTACAGTTCACATAGATAAATCTATTCCTATACTGAAACTTTCTATCTGGGCCAGCCTTTTTGGGTAGATTGAGTAGGTATGATAAATGCTGGGGGATTCCTCCCTTAGCCTAGCCTTAATACCTGAAATTCCACCAGTAGAGACCTGTTTCTTTTGTTCAAGTCATTGTTTTATGTTACATACCAGTGTAGTATTGTAAACTATCTAATTAGCACCCAGATCTGAATTATTTTCTAACATAGCTGTGTAATATGCCTATGTACCATAACTACATAGCTGGCTTTAAATAGGTTTAAGGTTGGAAGGTACCAAAAATCCCAGGTCTCTCAATTTGCCAAGGGCAGGCCCTAAATTGCAGGATAGTGATTATGGGACGGCATCCTTTTTTATTGGCTTTCAAGTAATGAAGTAGAGGCAGGAATCACGGAGTCCGTATAAACAGTAGTCTTGAAAGGGACAAACCTATGCTGATTCTTTAATTCAACAACTTTATTTTGAATATCTTCTATTATGTGCCAGAGATGTTACTAGGTTCCTTGAATAATAGAAAAATTAATCATATATTATTAAGAAATGAGTATCAACCTTTTTCTTGTAGTTTTGGGGTGTCATAGTGGTTTCCCATTTTTAAAATTAATACCAGATTCCAAGTTCTTTAGAAAAGCTCAAGGAAACTACTGACACTTGAAAGAAAGTATGTTTCTCCTTCAACCATTTATCTTGAATAGACCACTAGTCCTTATTTTTTTCCCCCTACTTATTGTTGGCAAGAAAACTGAGATTGAACAGGGGCCTTTGAGCTGTGGGATATTAATAATTTAGGGTATAAATGCTTCTACTTATAAAGGCATTCTTCAAGTCATCCATGAAATTATGATCAAGGTGAGTGCAGAGTTGAATATGTTTTCAATTAGGAAGGTGTCATTTGGTTTTTGACCTGAAAGAATATTTTTGCTTGTTCTGTATCTTAAAAGGATGGGGATCACTATAAAAATTTAAGGGTGGCTGACCCTTTCATCTGTATCTGACCCTCCAAATAAAAAAGTCTTTAAAATCCAACTTTTATTATTTTTTTCCAGATTTATTGAGATATAATTGACTTTAAACATTGTGTAAATTTAAGGAAAATTACTCCTTTCTGATAGGGAAATTATAATCATAAGTATATTATAGATAAGCTTAATTTATTTTTCTGTTTTGGGGCTTGACAATAGAGAAGTAGTTGAGTCTTAACATTCTCTTCAGACAATCTGTAAATAGGGAAATGGTAGTCTTGCTAAAGGAGTTAGATGTTGGTGACAAATGTTATTGGCAAGAATGTTAGAAGCCAGATTGGCTGGCACTGAGGCACCACCATTAGAGAAGTAGGTATCCCCCAAAGGAGTGTAAGTGAATGCTGTGATAAATTAGTAATTCCAGTAGGGGTGGGAGATCAGGCGAGGTTAAGCAAAAACAAATAAGGATCAATAAAAATGCTCCTAAATATATTCATGTGTTTGGATTTCTTTATATTTGTATTTAAAGACTTGATAGTGCTTTGTAAATGTATGCCTGTTTTACTGAAGACATACCTATATCTATCTATCTATATATAAAGAGCCAGGGTCCATAACATTGCAACAACCAAGGCTCAACCGAACACTAGAAGTCAGTGTCTGCAGCCGGTGTGGTGCAGCGACCCAGCACTGACTGCCAAGGGAGCTGCGGATCAGGCCCATAGAGAGGCCTGCAGAGAGAGAGGCAGGGTCTGATCCACAGCCTCTGTGGCAGCTGTTGATCAGCCCTTGCCTCTTTTATCAGGCCCAGAGATAGGCCCAGAGATGCTGACTGGCATAGAAACTGACCAATCAGAATCAAATCTGGGTGAAGTGCCAGGAGCCAATGGCTGCCTAGGAGGCGGAGCTTTTGATGCTGACTGGCATAGAAACCGATCAATCAGAGTCTAATCTGGGTGAACTTCGAAGACAGAAACTAAGGTGGGGGCTCGAGGCAGCTAGGGGTGATCAGGATAGCAGGGGAGGACAGTTGGGGGCGAGATCAGGCCAGCAGGGGAGGGCAGTTAGGGGTGATGAGTCAAGCAGAAGCAGTTAGGGGCAATCAAGCCAGCAGGGGAGGGCCACTGGGGGGTGAGATCAGGCTGGGAGGAGAGGGAAGTTAGGAGTGAGCAGGCAGGCAGAGGCAATTGGGGACTATCAGGCAGGCAGGCAGGCAGGTGAGTGGTTAGGAGCCAGTGATCCCAGATTGTGGTCGGCCATCATCCAAGGGGTCCCCGATTGGAGAGGGTGCAGGCTGGGCTGAGGGAACCTCCCAACCCCCGCCCCTCTGCATGAATTCCATGCACCACGCCACTAGTCTTTACATCAGGGGTCCTCAAACTTTTTAAACAGGGGCCAGTTCACTGTCCCTCAGACCATGGGAGGGCCGGGCTATAATTTAAAAAAAAAACAACTATGAACAAATTCCTATGCACACTGCACATATCTTATTTTGAAGTAAATAAACGAAATGGGAACAAATACAATATTTGTATTTGCATGTGGCCCGTGGGCCGTAGTTTGAGGACCCCTGCTTTACATAGAAAGTGAGCCATAACTTTCTAGTTATTTATGACCTATGGATTTCAGCTGGACACACACAGTTTGTCCCAAAGGCATCCCTTTTTATTGGTTCTCTTCTTTTACCTTAGGAGTGGCAATTAGAATGTGCTGCTGTTATTTTAGAATTGTTGATCTTGAGAAGGCATGGGGCAGTAGCAGGTATTGCAAAGCTACACTTTTGAAGCCTCTGTTTTGAAGCAAGTATAATTCCATGGAGAGAAAGTCTGATAGAACAACTTATCCCAATAGCGCTCTTTATACAGTGGGGCCTTGACTTACAAGTTTAATTTGTCCCGAGACCGAGCTCGTTAAGGAGCTTGTTAAGGAACTTGTTAACTCAAATTACTCTGTCAACTCAATGCAAAAACTCAGCCTAGATAGAGATAGCTGGTATCTCAAAAAACTCGTTAGTCGGGACACTCATAAGTCAAGGCCCCACTGTATACACTTTCCTTAGGTTCTTGATTTCCATAGAAATTGGAACTGTTCTCCACTTTGGATCATAAAGTTGCCAGCACCCAGATTAAGTAACACCATTTGCTTTTCTAAACGTTTCAGAGTTGTTGTTTTTTAAAAATTTGCATTTTTCCTTTTTGTCATTTAGAAAAGAAATTAGACTTAGCATCAGTGGACCTGTGGAAGATGCGAGTGGCAGAGCTGAAACAGATCCTGTACAGCTGGGGAGAAGAATGCAGGGCCTGCGCGGAGAAAGCTGACTACGTAAATCTGATCAAGGAGCTGGCACCCAAGTATGCAGCGATGCACCCCAGGACAGAGCTCTGACCCTCAAATGCTGGGGCACCACTGGTTATAATTAGAGACAAAATGAGTCTCCAGGATATGGATGAGTTGGTTAAGAGTACCGGGAATTGCACTGTGCATGGTCGCATACATTTTGTTTTGATATGACACTTCAGGACTGGTTGCTTGGGTTTGTAAGTAAAACTGTTAATATTGGTGGTATCTTACATTTTCAGTGTACCAAAACCTAAAAGTGCCTTTCTCATAATTTTCTGGTAAGGACTATGTAAATGATTATTGGCTATCTCCTAAAATTGGGAAAAGCGAACTATTGAAAAATTGATGTAGTAAATTGATTCTAAGAAGGAGGATAATGCTCACAGGCCTCTCTGTGAACAAATATTTAATTGAATGGGTTGGATTAGGATAGAAGGAACAATGTTTAGCTTATTAACTCTACACTTCAACTCAAAATAATAACCTGGCATTAAAAAAAGTTTTTTTAAAAAAAGTAAATTGTATTTTCAACTGCAAATCATTCTACTTTCTAGTTCTCTTTGATATCAGAAATTAGAGGGCAGGAGGCACTACTTGAAATCAGTGTCTCCCATAAGAAGAAACCTGTTTAAAACCCATTTAAAACCTGTTTAAACCTACTTAAAGGAAATAGATCAAGAATCTACTGAAGTGTAGCCAATGTTTTAGTAAATTGTATCAACACAAGTGAACAAAACTCAAGGTCTTTTGCATGCCTTTCTATCACACAGTAGATAAGCTTTTGAAAGAGGATTAAGACATATTAAGGGCACATACAGGCAACATGGAACTTTATGGTTCTCTGTGCTATTTTATCAGCTTTAAACTGCAAAAATCATTTTTGGCTCCATTTTCTGGTCACATAAGAAGGAGATCTGCTGTAGAAGTGGCTGCCTCTGTGTGGCAGGTGGAGATGGGGAATGACTGCAGAGCAACTCGAGGGAACTTTCTGGGATGATGGGACCCCCTATGCTTTGATGGTGGTTACATGGGTGAATATCATTGTTAAACTCATCTGGTAGTAAAATGAAGATCTGGGTATTTTGTTGTATGTAAATTATATCTAAAAGACTGCTGTAGAAAAACTATTTGAAAATTAATTAAAATTAAATGATTCAAAACTTCTTGTGTGTTTAAAGAATTTCAATTACTGACTGGGAGTCCCTTTGGGGGGTGGAGGAGAAATTTTCCTGACTGAAATTATATATTGGAAATATTATTTTCACTTTTGAATGCTGCACAGGTAAACAAAATTTCAGTTGAGCAGTTGGGATATAATCAAACTTATCAGGGAACTAGTCGTTAGTAACTTAAAAATAAGAATAAGAAGGCTTTGGTGTAATAAGTGGCCAAAAGGGTTATTGTTTTTAGATTCTGAAAGTTTTATCATTATGTGTAAAGCACCCTACTTAATTATTATTATTATTATTTTTAATATATTTTATTGATTTTTTACAGAGAGGAAGGGAGAAGGATAGAGAGTTAGAAACATCGATGAGAGAGAAACATCTATCAGCTGCCTCCTGCACACCCCCTACTGGGGATGTGCCTGCAACCAAGGTACATGCCCTTGACCGGAATCTAACCTGGGACCCTTGAGTCCGCAGGCCGACGCTCTATCCACCTAGCCAAACCAGTCAGGGCCACCCTACTTAATTATGAATTATATCTTTAAAATGCCCAAATTGAGGTTTTGTTTGTTTGTTTTTACTTTTTATAAACTTACTGAAAGGTTAACATGGTGGTATGTGGGCAGGCTAAATAGCCATCTCAGATAGTGATTTAAGAAAAATTGAATTTATTTAGGGAAAGTGATGGGGGATGGGATACCCAAAGGGAAGGGCTGCACAGCACCAAGCCAAGGGGCACTGGGTCCATGACGGAGGTTCATCCTTATATATAGTCATAGGCAGGAGGCGCTTGTCCTCAGTAGTCAGGGGGCTGACTTGGTGGGCTGAGAACGTGGATGGAATTCGGATGTGCGATCAAGAGTCTTCAGGACAGTTTTAATTCCTTATATGGTCTGATTCCTGAAGCCCAGCAAGTTTTTCCTGGTCTTTGTTTTCCTGTGGTGGGAAGTTTACAAATGGCTGTTAAGGATTATATTGTCCTATAGTCCTAACACTTACGTTTGTTTTTCTTTAGTGCATTTTGAAACTAAAGTTGTTATTTGAAAAAGTATGTTTTGACATCTGATCTCAAAATCAGGTCATATTTCTCAGGGTCTTTTTTTTTCCAGGATATAATTCTAGGTAATAAGAATACTGCCCAGCAAGTTATTCAAATCCATGCTATTTAGTCTAGTTTCTCAAAGGGCATTTAATCTAAGTCAGTGCTACTCAAACTTCTCAAACTGTGTATCCAATTCACCTGGGGATCTTGTTAAAATGGGGATTTGGAATCAGTAGATCTGGGAGGCGCCTGCGCCTCGGCATTACTAACAAGCCTCAAGTCCTGCCCAGGCTGCTCTTCCAGGAACCACACTTTAAGTAGCAAGGGCCTGAGTAATGGATCCTGTGATTGATTTATTTTTTCCTTCTGCCAGTCTCAGTTAGTTAGGTTTATAATAGAGCTGAATGTAACCATATGACAAAAAAACAACAATAAAATCACAAGTATTGATTCTTCCATGTGAAAGTAGTCCAGAGGTAGCCAGTCCAGAGTAAATATGGCACTTCTACAAAGTTCTCAGGGACTCAGCTCTTATCTTTTTGCTTCATATCCTAGTTGTAGGTTCCACTTTAAACCCCAGCCAGGTTGGCTGCTTAGAACCCTGTTCCGGAAGGCAGAAGGCATGGAAAGACTGCACCGAGTCAGCCTCTTTGGCAGCCTTTCTCCTCCCCACCCCCTTTCATGCTATTTGCTTCTTTCATAAATACAGGCAGTTATATCTTTTCTTCTTTTTTCGTTTGTCAAGAAATAGCAACTGTTTAGTGGTGGAGAGCTACAGGAGGGCGGGGCAGTGAACTACGAGCAGCGGAGAGCTACCAGTGGTGGTGTGCCGGTGGCCAGCTGAGGCAAGCAGCAGCGAGCTATTCGTGCACAGTAGAGCAAGAATAATTCTTGTTCTCATCCTATAACTGAGAATATAGTTCAGAAGATGAAAAGTATGGTAAAGCAAAGGACTTGTCTAAAGACTTGCATTTATAACCAATGGACATAAGACACTGGGGGTTAGGGGAGGACGGGGGATTGTCAAGGGCGGGGGGGAAAAAAAGGACATATGTAATACCCTTTGTAATACTTTAAGCAATAAAACTTTAAAAAAAAAAGAAATGCAAAAAAAAAAAAGACTTGCATTTAAACAGCAGTGGTTTGGGTCAGACATTATTCCTGATCTACTCTAAATCTCTAAAATTCCAAGCAGACAACCCTTTTCATTGCTTCCTAAATACACATGGGAGACTAGATATAACATTTGGAGCACAGTTTAAAAGTTGTAGTTCTTTGAATATGGATATCTGTAATTCACATTCTATTGAAGAGTGTAAAATTTAGAGCAAAGTAGCTTGGCATGTAGGACAAGAAAATATTTCACTATGAGATCCCTAAAAAACAGCAGAGCACTTTGTGATCCAGAGGCCCTATCCGTGAGCTTGAGGAGCTCTTGATACATGTCTTCTGGCAGATGTCTGAGTTTATCCATCGACTCTCACTCAGAAGAAGTGATTGTCAGGTGCCCATACTTTTATAGTGTGTTTGAAATACAATAATTCCAGCAAGAGAGAACTAGAAGAGAGACTGGATAGCACACATTATTATCTTTTCTGTTTGTTTTAGGTATGCTTTTCACCTACAAAAATTTTGAGAATTTGGAATTGTGCAGGGACCCCTGGTGCTGAATTTCTAAAGCTCACTAGGGTTTCAATTAAAAATTTAAAGTGTGAGATTGACAAATTAAAATTTTATTTTATTTTTTTAAATAGTTTTTATTTCTTGAACTATTACAAAGAGTATTACATATGTCTCCTTCCCTCCCCCCCCCTTTACATTCCCCTGGCCTCCCCTACCCCCTAGTGTCTTGTGTCCTTTGGTATTCTTATATGCATGCGTATAAGTCCTTCGGTTGATCTCTTAACCCCCCGCCCCCATCCCAAACCCTCCCCAGGCTTCCCACTGTAGTTTGACAGTCTGTTCAATGCTGCTCTGCCTCTGTATCTACCCCTGTTCATCAGTCTATACTGTTTCCCATTATCTGTCCCAACCTCACTGGAGTCGTCCCCACCTCACCAGGGCCGTCTTGACCTCACCAGGACCGTCCTGACCTCACTGGGGCCGTCCCGACCTCACTGGGGTCATCCCTACCTCACCGGGGCTATCCCTACCTCACCGGGGCCGTCTCAACCTCCCCAGGGCCATTCCGACTTCACTGGGGCCATTTCGGCCTCACCGGGGGCCCGTCCCAGCCTCACCGGGGTCGTTTCAATCTCACTGGGGCTGTCCCAATCTCACCGGGGCTGTCTCGACCTCACTGGAGGAGACTGACAAATTAAAATTTTAAATGTGGTAGTTGCTGGAGGTTAGGTTGTTAGTGTCAGTGAAGTGGATCAGTTTTAAAGCAGTATTTTTTAAAACTTCTTAGGTGATTCCCCTGTGAGGCTCTCCTAGGTGCTATCTATATATCTAATTTGCCAGCTCCCTGCCAGGGTTGCTATTTTCTTGGTGTGCTAAGCTCAGCCTGCCCAGTTTGGGTCTTCCAAAGTTTTGTGGTTGACCCTGCAAGTTAACATACCTGGTCCGGCAAGTTGAGCATTTTCTGTGAACATATAGGTGTTTATTAAGATACTGTAGATTAGTTGAATTATACTGTGGAAGAGACGGATTAATCAGTATTTAGAACAAAAGCAGAAAGAAAAGAATGCATAAGGACATGGAATAGAGGTCCATATCCATTACCAAAATACTTGGAGCTAGGAATTCATAACATTTTTCAGATTCTGAAAAGATACTACGGTGCATATACTAAATATTTCATAATCTCCCTAGGAGCTTGGGGCAGCACCCTGTAACACGCTCCCATAAATCCAGACCAGGTTTTGTCAACAGAAGAAGTCAGGTCAGGTTTTGCTTGTCAAAGAGTTACAAAAAAGGAACTTTTTATTTTCAGAGCTTTTTGGGTTTTTGAATCTTGGATGAGAGATTGTGGCACTGCAATTCTCTGGTGACTCCAATTTGGGTTTTATTAATCATTAATTAAGACTTTGGGCCACCTTAGATAGGACCTCTACCTCCCATCGACTAGTCTCCCACAGACAGAACTTTTTTCTCCTAGAAAGTTGAAAAGCAGCTGGGGGGCCCTCAGAGAATTAGGACCCTAGTTGTCTCACTTCCTTCTTTGGCCACAAGCCTTCCCTGGGCATAGTACAGGACAGACATAAATACCCACTGAGGGAATGCACTCACCATGTTGTTTTCCGTTCAAACAGGTGGGTCAGCTGTAGTTTCCCCTCTTCAGGTCATGACAACG